TTGAATAGAAACCCATTTCGAAAAGAAGTCCCTTCTTCAGTTTGCAAAACTAAACTGGAAAAAAAAAATGTCGATGAGCTATTAATCAAGATAATAAATTGGCTTCTTTTGAGACAGTACTTACATTCAGACTGACATTATCTATGATTATTATGATAGCGAGCCGGTATCAATATTTTATTGTACTGGCAATCTTAATATCAAAAAAATATTACATTAAAAAAATATCAATCAGAATTTCAATCCATTGTAAAAAATGCCGTATAGTAGCAATTTTAAAATTTACAGCATTCACTTTGAAAATAAGCCCCCTCTTAAGTTTGCAAAAGTAAACTCGAAGAGAAGCCCGTCTCGAAAAGAGGCCAATCTCAAAAAGAAGCCCATTCAATGGTCTCAAAAGAAATAAGAAGCACAGGGCTTCTATTTGAGGTTTTACGGTATACGGCAATCAGTTATCAATTAATACTATAATCTATCTGTTTTTCAGTTATCTCATTCAACGGAAGAAAATTGATGCTGGGATTTTACTTCATCAACTTCAGAAAAAAATGTTTGGATGGCCTTTGATGTATATAAGTGTCCTTATATTTATAACAGGTAAGAAATTGAGAGGAATTAGGCTTAAAATGTTTTTTACTTGTTACTTGAGTCTATTTCATCTCAAATGGAAAAAACAAAATATTGCCAACAATTTTGTTACCCGACCGATCAACCATTAAACAATTTAGAGTCGGCTTATTAGTGCATTTTTCTACAAGAAGTATCTGGAATACTTAATTTATTATTTTGATACCTTATCGATTAAGTTTACCTGAATTTGTCTTTTTGTCTTTATTTCATGCTCAAATAAAGTACAAAGAAAATCATTAAACAATGATAGATCTAAAATAATACAAGAAAAATTTACATACAAAAAGAAAGCCACTTAATAAAGCAAAGAGCAACGTCAAAAAGGCATAAAGAAATCAGACAGTTTACAAACAAAAAACAAAAGGAAAAAGAAAGGAACAGTTTTTAAACATCAAAATGCAGAAGTCAAAAAAAAATGATCTGATATAATTAGACATCATGAAACACCAATTTTGTACATGAGAGATCACATGGTGAGAACGTCTACTTGCCCATATTATCCGACTATTTCACAGTTCTGTGGTTACTGTAAGATTTAACGGCCAAATTTGTATTACTTTGAACTTTAAAAAGATATTATTGTCTGAGCTGCACACAATTAATGAAATAATATGCTTACAAAGACAGTACATAAACAACAAGACATTGTTAAAATTATTTAAAGTTAATTGTAAATCAATGTTATTTAATGCGTATACTTTGAGAAAAATCAAACCGTGCCCTAATCTGAAAAATCAGCTTGATACATTTGTGGAAAACAGAGCGGTATTCAAAGCTAGTTATTATTTTAATGGTGTATCTTATGCGTATCTTATCCAATATTCAAGTCCATCCATTAAACGAATCCATGATTATAAACAGTACATTGGTAATTATATTGGCCTGAAGATTAGTTGATCCGAGACGATCACTTCAATGAATAATTAACAATACAATTAATGCCTTGACTTTAAGCAGCTTGATGACGCACGAAAGTAGTGGGTAGGTAACGCAAGGTTTCGCAATAATATATCTTAGTTTTGTTATGACACAAGGGAAAAGATGTTTAAACTTTGTTAACAACTTATTGGAAGCGTGAGCACTGAACTATAACATATTTACAGTATTTTTATGACTTCATAAACCTAAACTTAAGTATACCGTATTTCAAGGTTGTTTGATCTTAACATTTAGGAAACGCTATTATTTTTTTCTGTTAATTCGTTTCCTTCTACGTTGACTATTTTATCTTTCGTATCTACGTATTTTCTCCGCTATCGCCCTCCCCATCCCCCACCGCTGTTCTCTCCCTTTTCCTTATTTTTTATCTGTATTCTTCCGTGTTTTCTTTTATTTTCATTTTCTTTTTTCAATTGTCCAATTGTCTGACCACCCTCCTTTGCTTATTATGTTCCCTTATATTCTTCCTCTTCTTCCATTTCCTTAATCGTCCAATCGTTTAAACACTATCTCTTTAATGCCTTCCCAACTATCCCGTCCCTCGATTTCACTCAGAAACTCTAGTCATACCGCTTTATTCCGACTTCCTGGTTAAGCTTTCAAAGGTTGAAAAAAGTTTTGTTGAAAGCTAAGTGAAATTGATATACTAAAATATAAAAAAAACAAAACAGACTGCACAACTAAGAGGTGACTCAACTCAAAAAACCATCCACAAAACGGTTAAGAAGTTAAGCAAGAAAAAGGTAAAATCAGAAATTTGTATGAGAATGGAAAATCCCCATGATATCATTGATATCCGTACAAGATTGTAAGATTACTGTAATAAACTGTTTCTAAGTGACAGAAGAACAGTTAATGGAAAAGAGAGATGATGAACAGCCGGAAGTTATGGTATGTGGAATTGAAGCAGCGATCAACCCGTGAGCTCCTCTCCTCATATTACAGTCAGCACGGCAATACAGGGTCTTGAGCAAGTGAGCTCTCAAGAGCAAAGCTTCAGTCCCCAGTTTAAAAGGACAGGGGGAAGAGGCCCTTCTACTAATACCCCAGCAATTTAAGAGACAAAATTAAACCAACGTTTAAATCATAAAATTATTGTGTTGAGGATATAAAAAAAACTATTCTCTTACACAAATTAGAGGGCCATGCATCGCTGCCCCAGTCCAATAAAAAAGACACCCAAGGCTAAGCAAATTAATAAATATAATTCTCAGTGTTATTATTTCGCAATTTTTAGGGCAACTGAGTGTAATTGTAATCGTGGGGCCCCATAAAATAACATTTTGATGAAGTACCTACAACATAATCGGTTGGACCATAAAGAACGATGTTTTATTCAGATTAGCGTTTATATCCTGTTCTGAAGTAACACAATTTGTGTTATCGAAGTGACATTTATCAAAACAATCAATCGACTTGGTTGCTTAACCGTCTATATTGGTATTTTGAGCCTATTTTTAGTTTTTTAGTATTAGACGACTCGAAGAAAATTTGATCCAAAATTGTAGGCCTATAACTATGGGAAAAGTAAATTTTGGTCCGTCTTTGAATTTTCATAGTGTCATTATTTTATTCTTTGTAAATGGTAGATGGTACATTATACAAATATTACGATTATTTGATTGGTTGATAAAGCTTATAATTATTGGCAAAGATTAATGGGGCTTACATTCATGATTGAGCATGTAACCTTATAATATATTATATGCTAATGGCAATGCCAAATATTAAATTAAACATGTGTGTAAAAGATAACAGATGATTATATTATTGTTGAATAGTCACAAGTATTTTGGACATGACTAATAATTAAATGCAGTCATTTCAGCTTTGACATATCTATAGGGAGATTACCCCACTGGCCACTTCATGAGCAAAAATACTTTGCTGATATGCAACACCCCCCCCCCCCCAAGCACTCGCCCAGGGCCTCATGACTGCCGGCCATTTAGAGCATATCGCTTGGATGAATTAACAGAGACCGGAAGGAAGCAGCGTGAAAGTGATTTTTTTGTAGATATTCAGAAATGTACTGTCCTCTATTCTAAAGAGATTACAGGTTACAAACTCCCTACAAAATAAAAAAAATCAGGTTTAATTTCGGAATCATAAAAAAGTAGCAGTACGCCTTTTTGCTTTCGAATCATTCAAATAAGTATAAGAGGCCCGTAAAACGTCAGGGGGTTTCCAATATTCAATAAAAGTTTGATCTTTACGGCAGTGGAACGCCTATGGGCTCTCGGGGGTTAAACACAACTGGCACCAGTTCAAATGAGCCCTCATAATAATACAAGAATACTACAACAGAGCCTTTGCACGGCCCCTTGACATAGGGTCCAGGGAAACCAAAAACTAAATAAAGTGAAACAATGTTTTCCGGTTTGAACTAGCAAATGCCTTGTAGTCCAATAACAACACCTATTTAATACAATATCAATTCCCGACTCAGAAGTTTCCGCAGCAGGTCCCACTAATTAAACTAAAATTTTAACACATTGATAAGGCAAATAGCTACTAAAATTTACATGGGAATTCTCATCAATGATTTAACCACCAACCGATGAAGTAACATGGCTCCAAGGGGACCATGGTTCGATGATACAGTCGTGGCCATCCGCATATAAATTGGCCGACCAGCAGGCTAATAAGCTGCATACAGTAAACACATTACTCTTACTGAAATAATCTCTAGTAAACATCATCCCCTGAAAACCATATCGGTATTTCTGAGTCTATAGGTTTCAATTTTGGGCCCCAAAAATTTAAAGTTATTTTAATATGATTATTTATTAGGTGAATTATTCTACAATGTGTGTGTGTTGGTGTATTTATGTATGTATTTGTGTGTAATACATATATTGTATGTATGTATAGGCATGGAGGAAATGAATTACGGGAAATGTGCAATGCTTATGAAATTCAATTAATTTTTCTTTTAAATTTGTTTTATATTGTAATGATGTATAAACACATACCGGTAACTGTTGTGAATTGTGAACGCATATGTAAATATTGGTACAGCATAAGATCACTGTATAATAGGAGAGAAAACGAAACAAATGAAAATCATGAAAAAAGAGGACAAATAAAGGTGGGTGATCTCCACGAAAGAAAAAAATGTATTACTCCTACTAAAGTAATCCAGTACCGTCTTGGAGTCTACGTTTTGGGCCGGAATATTGATTTCTAATTACTGATACTTTATTGTCATCAGAATTTGTGGCACAATATATACTGTATACATCGAACATTTATTAAATTACAGTAATCTATAAGTAAGAATATTTTGCTCCCACGGAACACTCTTCTAATCTAGCTTTTTGGGGCTTGAATAATGATTACTTATGGAAGTAAAGTGCCTGTATTTTACATAAAAATCCTCATTTAAAAAGAACGAAACCTCAGTAGACCTAGGCCAATATTTAGCATCTCGGTTGATAATTATCATTTCCGACATGTTTAAGACACATGCGCTCATGCTTTGTTCATTAAAATTTGCTTACAGCAGACCACCAAGACCTCACCCAATGCTGACTTAGTCGCAGGTGTGAGAGAGTGAGAAGAACATGTCCATAACGGACCCCCACCCCCATAATAAGATTTGTTTTGAAAGAGTTTGACCTTACAGGACGTTCTATTCTTACCGGTATGGCTCAAGAAATCATTATATTAGGCCTATAAAAATAAGCCTGTTCTCAAACGAGATAGGTACAGGCCATGTACCTGTCATAGTAGGCCAGAAAATCATCTGAACGGTAGTACCATGACCGAAAATAATGACCAAATTACATTTAAAAAAAAATAATGTTTAAGACACTGTATTTGGGAAATTATAGAAAAAATAAATTGTTTAAAATTTCTTATCAATGCCATAACTAGATGAAGTGAGATGCTTATTCCTCCATGAATATAGGAGCGGTTTGACGCAGCGTTTGCCGTCCTGCGTTTCAGAATTGAGGTCGGAGGTTTAATCCCTCGCTCTGTGCATTTCGATTTGTGTCCTAATAGGCAAGACACTTTACCTACGGTTGTTTCTGTCTACCCAGGAGGAGAAGTGGGTACCTGGGAGGTAAAAACACAAAATTCGCTGATTACAGCTGCAACGTTAGGAAATTATTCCCTGGAAACTGAGTATGTGTTCCAAATGTGTTTATTGATCCAATGACCGGGGGTAATAACGTGAAGTGCTTAGAGAATATGATGGCATGGTATATGGTATATAAATCTAACATATTATTATTATTAATAATAATAAATAACGTGCAAGAAACACGCACACATGGTATAATACAATATGAATAACAATGACTATATTATATTTATAGGAGTTGACAGGCATTGTGAAATACATATAAAAAAATATATGCAGGCCTAATTAAATAAAACATGTGTTCTGTCTCTTATACACATCTCACCAGTTCAAATGAGCCCTCATAATAATACAAGAATACTACAACAGAGCCTTTGGACGGCCCCTTGACATAGGGTCTAGGGACACCAAAAACTAAATAAAGTAAAACAATGTTTTCCGGTTTGAACTAGCAAATGCCTTGTAGTCCAATAACAACACTTATTTAATACAATATCAATTCCCGACTCAGAAGTTTCCGCAGCAGGTCCCACTAACTAAAATTTTAACACATTGATTAGGCAAATAGCTACTAAAATTTACATGGGAATTCTAATCAATGATTTAACCACCAACCGATGAAGTAACTGGTTCCAAGGGGACCATGGTTCGGTGATACAGTCAGGGCCATCCGCATATAAATTGACCGACCAGCAGGCTAATAAGCTGCATACACTAAACACATTACTCTTACTGAAATAATCTCTAGTAAACATCATCCCCTGAAAACCATCTCGGTATTTCTGAGTCTACAGGTTTCAATTTTGGGCCCCGAAAATTTAAAGTTACTTTAAAGTGATTATTTATTAAGTGAATTATTGTACAATGTGTGTGTGTTGGTGTATATGTGTATTTGTGTGTGTGTGTGTGTATAATACATATATTGTATGTATGTATAGGCATGGAGGAAATGAATTACGGGAAATGTGCAATGCTTATGAAATTCAATTAATTTTTCTTTTAAATTTGTTTTATATTGTAATGATGTATACGGTAACTGTTGTGAATTGTGAATGCATATGTAAATATTGGTACAGCATAAGGTCACTGTATAATAGGAGAGAAAACGAAAAAATTGAAAATCATGAAAAAAGAGGACAAATAAAGGTGGGTAATCCCCACGAAAGACAAACAAATGTATTACTCCTACTAAAGTAATCCAGTACCGTCTTGGAGTCTACGTTTTGGGCCGGAATATTGATTTCTAATTACTGATACTTTATTGTCATCAAAATTTGTGGCACAATATACACTGTATACATCGAACATTTACTAAATTGCAGTAATCTAAAAGTAAGAATATTTTGCTCCCACGGAACACTCTTCTAATTTAGCTTTTGGGGGCTTGAATAATGATTACTTATGGAAGTAAAATGCCGTTATTTTACATAAAAATCATCATTTAAAAAGAACGAAACCTCAGTAGACCTAGGCCAATATTTAGCATCTCGGTTGATAATTATCATTTCTGACATGTTTAAGACACATGCGCTCATGCTTTATTCATTAAAATTTGCTTACAGCAGACCACCAAGACTTCCCCCAATGCTGACTTAGTCGCAGGTGTGAGAGAGTGAGAAGAACATGTCCATAACGGACCCCCACCCCCATAATAAGATTTGTTTTGAAAGAGTTTGACCTTACAGGACGTTCTATTCTTACCGGTATGGCTCAAGAAATCATTATATTAGGCCTATAAAAATAAGCCTGTTCTCAAACGAGATAGGTACAGGCCATGTACCTGTCATAGTAGGCCAGAAAATCATCTGAACGGTAGTACCATGACCGAAAATAATGACCAAATTACATTTAAAAAAAAATAATGTTTAAGACACTGTATTTGGGAAATTATAGAAAAAATAAATTGTTTAAAATTTCTTATCAATGCCATAACTAGATGAAGTGAGATGCTTATTCCTCCATGAATATAGGAGCGGTTTGACGCAGCGTTTGCGGTCCTGCGTTTCAGAATTGAGGTCGGAGGTTTAATCCCTCGCTCTGTGCATTTCGATTTGTGTCCTAATAGGCAAGACACTTTACCTACGGTTGTTTCTGTCTACCCAGGAGGAGAAGTGGGTACCTGGTAGGTAAAAACACAAAATTCGCTGATTACAGCTGCAACGTTTGGAAATTATTCCCTGGAAACTGAGTATGTGTTCCAAATGTGTTTATTGATCCAATGACCGGGGGTAATAACGTGAAGTGCTTAGAGAATATGATGGCATGGTATATGGTATATAAATCTAACATATTATTATTATTAATAATAATAAATAACGTGCAAGAAACACGCACACATGGTATAATACAATATGAATAACAATGACTATATTATATTTATAGGAGTTGACAGGCATTGTGAAATACATATAAAAAAATATATGCAGGCCTAATTAAATAAAACATGTGTTATGAATACACAGGGTAGGCCTAATATGCTGCATTATTTAATAAACCTATGCCTTTTTAATTTGGCCAACACGTGAATACGAGTTTCGAATAACAGACTGCTGGTAAAGTTTGTATTATTAAGTCAATTTTTGGTTTATTAATGGCAGACAGATCTTGTAGTTATTCCTCCATGGACAGATCTACCAGGTAATATATGGTACTTAATAGAGCAGTAAGAATCAGGGGAATCAACATGGGGTCGTGGAGGTTCGATATTAGAATGAGTTAGGCCTACGTTTCTACAGTCCAGCTCATATCCTCGGAAACAGTTTGTTTACAGATGCCCAGAATTGTGAAGATGATAAGGATGATGATGAGAGGATGATGATGACGATGATAATAATAATGATGATGACGACGATTGCAAGGACAAAGAATGGATGATATCATCACCTCTAATTTTCCGATAATCAAAGTTACCCGTTTACAATGCGAGTCGTCCTCCTCTTCAAATCAGAATAAACAAATGTTTCAAAAAGGGATTTACTTAACATCCCAACATTGTAATTGTAAATTCAACATTTCTACAAATGGTATGTACATGTTTTTACCAACTTAATGTGTTGTCAATTGTGAATCGAAGGTACTTTAATGATGTTACGTACGTACGTAATGATGTTGCATAGGCGGCGACATGGTTAGTGATGGAAATACTAAAACAAACTACTGTAACGTGAAGTGAGTCCAAGCGAGAAAAGGCCCCAGTCAGGGTGCAAAGATAAAAGCCAGCCATCAGTTGAAGCCTGCATCAACAGTCTTACTTGAGATCTTAAGTTCATTACGCCAAGACGTTTGATTCGGTCTTCCATGAGGCCCTGTGGAAAGTGCTTAAAAAGGTTGGTGTAACACAACATTTGATATGTCTGGTGAAAAACCTGTGCGATTGTGTTGTAGGTATACGGTACAAGGAAAAGGGTCACGACATGGATGCCAATTTTTCTCTGTGTTTTTCAATATTGTTGGTTTTGGTTAGAAAATCATGAGTGAAATTGAGGATGGCCTCCCAGAGACAGCTGGTAAAGTGGAATATCAGATACGCAGATGACAACTTTAATTTCGATTACAAAGAAGAGTCGAATAGTATGGTGGAACATCTCAAAAGAGCAAAACAAACCAAAAAAAAAAAACCAACTAGACAATAGTTCATAGGGACGGAGAAATAAAAATAGGGGAGGATAAGTTCAAGTTTATAGATCTTACATTGCCCAGGATGGAGACAGTGAGATTGAAATCAAGAGCAGGTTAGGAATAGCAAAAAAAGCAACAAGAGACCTCAGAAATTTATGGAAATCCAAAGCGCCTGACTACAAAGAGAAAATTAGCAAAGAACTTGGTTTGGAGCATCAATCTATATGGATATGAAAGTTGGACAATCAGAAGGAAGGAAAAATGATGATCCAAACTTTCGAACTGTGGATGTGGAGGAGAGTTATGAGAGTAAGTCGGAGTGAGAGGAAAACAATTGAATGGATAAGGGGAACAATTGGAGCGCCAAGATAAGGACTCAGGAAGAAGATGTCAGAAAAGAGGAAACTGACCTAATATGGTCATTGGAAACGAATACCTGATAGTCTGGTCCTAATCACTTAGGTAGAATTCACCAGATTCTACCTAATAGATTTGATAAGTATCAGTTTCGGTGACATCAACATTCATGATGCCGTCACCAAACCTGATTATATGATTGATGACTGGTGCTGTCACCAGTATAGAAGTGAACAGCATTTTATTTGTCACCGAAACTGATCACTTAGGTAGAATCAGCTGTCCTGTACGCACCAAAGGTTATGGCAATTATCAGAGTGGATCAATAACATTTGAAGATAGAGAGAGAGAGAGGACTGTAAATGCAAGAAAAATGGCTCCAGAGGGCTAGGCAAACAGAACTGAACTGGTCAACCCTCTTAGTTATCTTTCTTCTAATCTGCATTACTTTTGTAAAATGGCTGACCTTCTTTCTCTCGTCGCACGACATGTTGACAGGGACCTAATAAAATTAAACAAACTATGGATACATTTTAGTATAATAATGACTTTATTTGTGTGGCAACATGGGTGTATATTTGGCGGGTATGCAGGTCATAAGAACCTTAGGAGAACGACCATACCCCATAATCAATAGCTAGTCAAGGACTTTTACCTTAAATACTTTGTTTGGTTAGGAAGAGGTGGGGCATTTGTTGATTAGATATATGATCAGATGTTTCTTTGGCAAATAATAATGTGATATTAAGAAAACCTTAATTACCAAAGAATAAAAACATTAAAAATAACAAATACACTACTTCTATGATGGTACTCTACTTAGGTTTGGGTGTTCCACAGAGGTAAATAACAAATAACAGTAACAAATCTTCCTCATATGACGTTTTAATTACTGTACTCTTTTTAACGATAGCACCATGTGGTTTATACGCAGTACCAGTAAAACATATTGAATCGGAATTAATCGATAAATTGATGTCGAACTACACCCGGACAACAGTAAGACCAGTCATTCTTTACAAAGATGCGGTGAATGTAAAACTAAGAATGATTCTAACACAAGTCATCGAACTCGTAAGTAAATATTTTGTTATAGCCTATTTCGACATATTTATTTATTAGCCATCAATTAAATCATTAAAGAGGGAGATACATCCATTCAGCGTAGACAATCAGATGATACCCTCACAACATGCAAATAAAAAGAAAAATTACACACAGTTTTAGCCATAACTTACATTGATTTTTCAAACTTCAAAATGCTATGTTATAATATTATTATTATTATTATATAATTTTTTGTTAAGTGGATAAACGTAGGTGAGTGCTTGATTCCGTGGCATGTGACAAGGTGCATTCACATCGAATCCGAATTTTCGGTTCGGCAGGCCTAGCGAACAGATAAAAAAATCGAATCAGTGTATAAGAATATGGACGTTGGCGTTTAGCACTTCAGAAACGCGGTCCGGACTTTCGTTGGGATCCGATGTGAATGCAGTTTAAGTCTTATTGCTTATATTACCATAATAGAAAAGATTACCCATAAATTATGACGCATAATTAACCAATAATTTATGATTTTCTTTTTAGAATGAACGAATTCAGAAGATGACCATAAGCTCATGGTACCGATTGGTGAGCAATTTGCATTTTTCTTCCAAAGGAGCGTTGGCGTATCTAAAGTGCGAGGTGTGTGGGGAGGGCACAAACCCCATAAACAACTCGCCCCACCCCCCTCTCCAGTCATTAAAAATATTCGAAGCATGAAAAAATCAAGCTCAAGTAGATAAAATCAACTCATAATCGCCTTATTTTGTGAGCTAGCGCCCCTCGCTTAATCATCGAGCACCCGCACTTCACCTTCGTGCCCCCCTATGAATTTCGCCTTCTTAGTACCAGTAAATTCGTTATTGTGTTATCTGGGACAAATTTCCTAAACGGAAGGACGAGGTTGGATCGAAGACATTTCACTAGTAAATTAGCCTTCCGCGGAGGTCAAATTTATTGTGAATTTTGGGCCCGGGGGCTGATATGACATGCACAGAGGTTTAAATATTCACCATGGAGTAGGCTACATTCATGGGAAACTATTCTTTGACGCTGTTCCTAATGTTATGATGAACAATCACAATTATGAACCCAATGGACCGTTCCGCTAAGCTGTTATTTCATGTTCGCGTGTTTGTCTATGGTTTCTATGTCAGTTACAAAAACAAGCTATATCGCTCCTAATTATCATACAGGAACACCAAAGACTTGCTGCAATTAAAATTCCAATCAGACCTGTTCTTAATATAAAATAACGGCAAACAAGTAGTGACGCTAGGAAATATCCTAGAAGGAGCTTATACAGCAAATTATATTATGTGAATAGTTGATGAAACAGATGAATATACATTCGTTATTGTACAAAATCAATTAGACTTGGAACTAATTGAAAAAAATTGGAAATTTCACTCCGAAATATATCTACATGATAACACATGTGTGAAAATATATATATCAAATATAGTGTAGAAAAAAAAATACAATCATAATAGTAATGTTTATTGAACCTTAAATGATCATACATACCGTAAATTTGGTAAAAAATACAAACGTTATAAAAAATAAAGAACATACATAGGAAAATGAGAAAGCAGAAGAAAATAAAAAAAATTACATAGTTATAAAATTTTACCGTTAATATCTAAGCTAAATAGAACAAGATAAAAATATATAAATCAGGCCTACAAAATAGTAAAGCACAAGGGTTTATACAAAAAAAAAATACATAACAGATCAAATTTTCAAATACCGTAAAAGCTATTATTTTTATTAGCAATGTGGAAAAACAATGCTATAATTTACAAATTTTAAAGCAAGATCTTAATAATATTAATAATAATAATAATATAGAAATTTATATAGCGCCTTTTGCCAAAGGATACAAGGCGCTTAGAAAAGGTTTAATGATATCATTAAATATCATTGATAGGTTTAATAATATCATTTGTGTAGCTACTCTCTTTGGATTGTCTATTCAGAACCAGACATACTTATTATAATGAAATTAATGAGATTGCTACCAAGTGACGGCAGAAATTAATCATTCCTTTCTGTCAGTACAACTCAGTAAAAAGGTCGATCTTTTAGAAAATTAAAATCGCAAAATAATGTGTTAGCAAATGAAATTGTTGAATGTATAGGCCTACACAGTGGATACTGGAATCAAGAGACCTGTTATTGCTTGCTTGAATCAATCAGTAACGTATATTATAATATTTAATCACTCTAGTGGTTTGCATCCCTTGGCTTGGGAACGGTTACTGAATTCTCAGCGCTATTTTGTATTTGTTATGGGGCAATAAAAACGCAAAATTAATACTCAATTATAATTGAGAAATACATAGGAGGTCAATGATGATTTACCTGTATATTTATATTATATGCAACTATATATATAATATATACACCTATATATAGGCCTACATATATATATTTGTCTAACTGGGGTCTACCACTCTCTGATAAGTGCCCTCGAGAGATCTGCCAGCGTCAGTGTTCTGACCCTGACGGACCTCTCGAACATTTGACTCAGTAGATCACACTGTTGCTGTTTTAAAATTAGTAGATATGGGAGTTCCACGATGTCTAGTGCAATGGATAATTGACTTCATAACTGTGCGTCGTCAGAGGGAAATACCACGGTAAATACTCAGAGTGGGTTTCTTTAACTGGGGGTGTCCCGCGGGGAAACCTCATGCCGTCATTATTTTTATTGCATTAATAAATGATTCTTTACAGGACACTGAGCGACTGGAGATCGATGCCTGGAAGTACGTTGGCGACCAACACTTTGCGAAACAACAGCATTGGTCAACCAACCAACACACAGGCCGCACTTGACAAACTCCACCAATGGACAACGTGAACCAACTTAATCTAAATCTAAACTAAAACTAAATAAGTGTCGTTATGCGAGTTTAATTTGGTCGACAACCTCTTCCAGACATCGATCTCCATATCTCTGACCAGTCCCTGCCAGCAGTCCAGACAGTCAAGCTACTTGGGGTCCTGCTTGATGATGATCTGAAGTGGAAATCGAATACTTTAGCTATTTGTAAGAAAGCAAACAAGAAAATGTATTTAATGCGGTCCTTAAAACTAGCAGGCCTTCCCAGGGAAGAACTAGTATACATATACCGTAATATTAAATGTTATGTTAGGCCTGTGATAGAATACGCCGCCCCCTTTAACACACAGGGCTTATAATTGTGCTCAGTCTAAACAAATTGAACACATATAAGAATGTGTTTGTAAGTGTATTCTTTACGAAGCAGTTGATAATTATGTGGAAGCTCTTGATACATTGGGACTAAGAGAGATTGGCTGATCGCCGAAACACATTATGCGCTACCTTTGCCAAGAAGGCTGCTAATTCCGAGAGGTTCAGTCATTGGTTCAGTTTAAATAATAAATCCCATTTCACGAGCCTCCGTACTACTAAGCGATATAAGGAGTACAAGGTTAAGACTGTAAGGTATTGTAACAGCCCATTGCCTTACATGACAACCCTCCTAACAACTAGTGTTCCTGCTTCCTGCTGTCAGCCAGTCTCTCTACGATTGCAATTATTATTACAATTATTTTCACTACAGTGCTTGTACTGAGTCTCGCAAATGATTGAGTTTCGTTTTGTAAATTTTACTTAAATATAAATATTTATATTTTTTCTATTTTTATCTTAATGTAATTTTAATCCAGTTGCCTACAATTCAATTTTTATTGCCAAAGGCTACTGTTTCCGAATGTGAATTTGTATCTATTTTCATATTTTTTTTATAAAATGAACTTCTTTATGTAATTATATTTAATATGTATTTTTCTGAATAAAAAAATACCTGAAATGATTTGTGTATACATATCTGAGTACCGTATCTATATAAGGCTATATATTCTTGTTGAATTATAATTATTGTCCTCAAAGATCGCTTAGAGTGCATGACAGACTATGATGACCCGTTGTAGAATTTCTTATTGCCAAAGCTCATTTAACGATGTAACGGCTCGGCGTGTGTATCATATTTCGAGTTTTTGTAAATTCAGAATGGATATTATGAAATATCCGGTTTTTGAAACGCCAACCAGTTTACCTATTATAATATACATATAACACTTTATTTTACTTTGAGAATGTATTACATTTGTACTAGTTAACGAGTATTATGACATTAGTGATTAACTGGATTAGTGGTTTGAGGGAAGTCCTCCTATCAACAAAACTGGGTATTTAAATTTCGAAAATAATAATCTGAAATTTGTGTGAATTTTCTTAATCGTTTTGGGCTGAGGGGATTATTTTCTCTTAAAGAAAGCATCACTCCCAAACATGCAATATAAGTCTTGATTTGCCTCAAAATTATATCATTCGAGTGAGGTATGTGATTAATAAATATGATTATATATATAAATATGTATATATAAATATATATATGTATGTATATATAAACATATATATATATATGTTGAAGCTTGCGGTACACCGCGTTAAGCAATACTTTATATATAAACATATATATATATATAATTATATATATATATATATATATATATATATAATGATACTGCATGGATTTAAACGATAACAGTACGTCAGCATTACTTTACAGCGATTATTGATTGAACCAAATTTGTACCATTACAACTACAATTAACCTGCCCTAGAAATGCCTATCAATAACACTTATACAGTAGTCACTCCTGTTGATGATTTAATATGTGGCCTACTTAGAGGGATTACAGTAGATCCAAGAATTTGAAGTAAAGGGGGCCCAAGGAGGAAGCTTTGCAGGTTGAGGGACAAGATCACTACATCCCCACCTTGCTGAGGCACACACTTGTTTACGGCATCTTCACAGTGCTGTGGAAATGGCTCTTTCTCAGACTACTCAGACTTAAAATTGAATGTATTTTCCCCCCACATTTTATAAATTCAGTTGTGGGAGTGGGGGCCTGCCGGGCCTCCTTTTAAACCTGCCTCTAGACTTAATAATAATATTAATAATAATAATAATAATAATAATAATAATAATAATAATAATAATAATAATAATAATAATAATAATAACAGAAAAGCGAGGAGAATAATTTAAAAAAAATACCGTAACAATAACACTAATAATAACAATAAGAAATGATATAATAATAATAATAATAATAATAATAATAATAATAATAATAATAATAATAATAAATATAGTAATAATAATAATAACAGAAGAGCGAGGAGAATAATAAAAAAAACCCCAATAATAATAATAATAATTATTATTATTATAATTATTATTATTATTGTTATTATTATTATTATTATTATTATTATTATTATTATTATTATTATTATTACTATAATTATAATAATATAACATTAACGATTGTGGTACCAATAAAACGAGTAGGGTATTCATTTAATTTATTCACTCCTTCGCCATATCAAATGACATTATCGTATGAATCTCGAGTTATTTAAACCTGCGTTAGTGGCGAGTCTATTGTTGATTGCATGCCTCTACATTCAATCAGTAAGATATACTGTATTTGCTTGAAGTCAATTTGTAGATAACGCATGTCGTTTCACTAATTTGGTCACGTGGTACACTTTCAAGGTATGTACCTATAAGGTGTTAGTCATTCCTAACTAGTCTCATTAGATTGTTTGAAAAATTGCTGCAGCTCTGATGTAAAATACGATTTTGACATGTCTATATTTCACATCGTAGTTCATTAGGTTCAAACGATTATAGTGGTATAAAAATATTTTCTACATGAACCAATAAACATTTTCAGATAAACGAGTATAGTATATCGAGTTAGCCCCTATATAGCTAGAAAAAAAAATATAAATGTAACCATCATTGTAGATCAATGCTAACTTAATAAAAAGTAAAAAATCAAAAAATAAAACAATTGTAACATTATAAGGCGAAGATGGAATTTTTAATAAAATATTTGGCGTACTGAAAAACAAAACAAAACAAAAAAAAAACAGCCAAAAAATAGCCGAAAATAAATTAAAAAAAATTAGGGTTTAGAAATTAAAAAAAATAAAGACGATGAGTGATGATGATAATAATAAATCTAATCATATGGCGCATTATACAAACACATCAATACGCTTTACAGTAGTCCATGGTAAACTGGAATGAATCAAGGGCAATAGAAGAGAAATACGTAAAACCGATCACTCAATGCGTCGTACGACCGTCGCCCAACGTGATTCTCGGTGGAAGTCTAAACGGATCGTCATTAAAAACGATCCGTTGCGAGCACGTCTTGACGTTGTAATCCCGGTTGTAATCTCCATAGAATCGTGTCGGCTGACGACCGTCGGGCCAGCATTCGTTTTACAATGGCACACTACTACTACGTAACAGGATAGCCAATGCATGCGTTACTCTTATATTAATCGTAAGTCGAAATTTGTTTTGCAAGCCTGTTTTCTATAAAAAAAAAAATAATAATAATAATAATAAAAAATCGCTACACGCTATCGCCGACTCATTTAGTGACGCTGATTGGTCAGTTGAATCAAGGAGGAGCATTCCCGATTGCTTCGGGGATAGCTACGCAGTGCAAGGATTGCAGTGAAAACGCTACAGCGATAGTGTAGCGATTGTATGGAAACCAAGCTTTACTAAACCACAATTTTTGGCGAGTCTAGTGGCCGAGCGGTAAGGCAGGGGCACCGCTAGCTACAGCCTTAACATCGGCGCTGGTTCCAGCCGCTCCTCGCCCATGGTTCGGTTGGTAGAACCAAGTTTTCTCCGATAAGGACTTAAAATGGAGGTCCAGTGTATACATCTGGCTCGTGTGCACTTTAAAGAATCCATTGCATCTTTCGGAAGAGTAGGGGTTACCCCGATGTTATGGTTCATTTCAGCACCTGTCGTTGTGGAATTAGTCCGGCAGCTTAGCAGATGGATGTGGACGTTCCGGACAAAAGCACCAATTTTTTTACATGCTCCTTATGGTCATAGCATTCAATTTTTGGTAGGAACCACCTCATCCGAGGTCATTATGGCGGCCATCTTGGATTTCAAAATGACCGCCTAATAAAACCTATGTTTATTTATATCTCCGCTTCAAAACCACTTGGAATTATAATTCTAATGTCTGAAACTATTTTTATTTGGTCAAGGAATACCATCATACAATTTTTGACATGGTCAGATTGCCACAAATAGGTCATTTAAGGTCATGTAAGGTCAAATATTTTATGGTATCTTAAAAATTACATAATTGTCATATTTTACATTAGAACCATACCCAGACTCTAAGAATTCAAAATCTTTACTATGAACTACAATATTTCATTCGAGGTCATTCTGGCGGCCATCTTGAATTTCAAAATTGCTGCCACGCAAATCCTATATTTATCAATATATCGGTTTTTTTTAAACCATATTAATGAGAATTAGGCCTAGGATATCTAAAAATTATATTTCATGGTCAAGGATTAATAACACAATTTTGACATGGTCAGATGGTCATTGATGTCATAAAAGGTCATTTAGGACATTCAATGTATATACCATAACATTACCAATTTTTACCTGGTCAGATTGCCACAAGCAGTTCATTTAAGGTCATTCAAGGTCAAATATTGTATGGTATCTTAAAAATTACGTAACTCATGTTTTACATTAGAACATTAGAATCATATCTATACTCTCAGAATTCAAATGTTTTACTATGAAATATATATATATATATATATATATATTTAATATATATATATGTATATGTACATATATATGTATATATATATAGTATGTACAATTATATATGTACAATTTTCAGTGAGATTAATATGATTTAAATTAATTTTTATATACTTTTATTGTCATTAAACTCACTGTATACAATAATTTCTTTATATATATTATTATTGGTCAGATTGCCACAAACAGTTCATTTAAGGTCATTCAAGGTCAAATATTGTATGGTATCTTAAAAATTACGTAACTCATGTTTTAAATTAGAACATTAGAATCATATCTATACTCTCAGAATTCAAATGTTTTACTATGAAATATATATATATATATATATATATATATAATATATATATATATGTATATG